CGTGCTGAAAGCGCCAGCCAGCACCAGCTCTGTCAGCAAAGAGCGGCCTTGGGGCCTTTCTGCCCGTGCCCCCGACGCGTGGTGCTCGGGGCGTCTGCCAGAGGCCGGCTGTGCCGGGGCGCAGGCCGCGGGGCGAGCGGTAACCCCTGGCCGAGCACCACCAGCACCTGCAGCGTTGTGTAAGTGCTCCGAATGGAGAGGCAGTGGCCACCCGGCGGGGAGGGACGGGGAGGGCACAGCGCTCTTTGCTGCCTTGTCACCTCGTTTTGCTGTCTGCCCAGGTGATGAAGGAGGCACTTGGTACATTGACCTGAAAACCAAGGGCGGGAGCGCTGGTTCCGGGAAGCCGCCTGTGACGGCCGATGTGGTTATGAGCATGTCGAGTGCCGACTTTGTGAAAATGTTCACAGGTGAGTGGCAAAGGCGTTTGCGCGGGCGGGCGCAGGTAGCGGTGCCCAGAAAACCTTCTGCTGCTGGGCGCATGGACAGCCTCCTCGCTTTGTGACCCTGGGATGGAGGAGCTTTCGGCTTTCTGTGGCTCGGGGGAAAGCGTAGGCTAGAGCTCCTCGGACTTCCCCAAACTCTTCTGTTCTGGGAACAGGAAGAGCACAAGAGCTTGTCCTGCTCTTGCAAATGAGGTACTGAAATTTTAGTAGCGAGCGAGCGTAGCTTTGGGCCGAGTCCGGTCAATCTGTTGGACTTCTGTTCTGCACGTCTCTAATCTGTGTTTCCTCAACACGCACTGCTTTTGCAGCAGAATGTGGTAGGTGAGTAACCTGGCTTGTTTATTCTACTCTGAGAGACCTGAGTTACATGGTCTTGTCTCAATTGAAATCAGTCATAATCTAATAATTTTATTAAGTAACAGCATAAAACATTTGATGCAATTTGGCCCTCTTACTGAGGTTTTTCTGGCTCCAGAAAAGGTTTTTACTGGTGAAGTATTTGTTGGACACTAGGCAATGTCACAATTTTTATAATGTTAGATTGCTGCACTGCTTTATAAGTTTGACTTTAGTATTTATTGCTATTCCAAACAGTTCTGAACCTTCTTTAGGAAAACTTCAAAAGTCAGAAGAGAACAGATTAATCATGAGAAAGAAGTTATCCATTAAGTAAGTTAATCCTTATAATCAAGTCCTCAAAAAATACCTTTAAAAATGGACTGTAAAAGCAAATGCTGTTTCAATGAATCAACTTCCTCCTTTTCAGCTAAGTGCTTCGATATTGTGAGATATATAAAGCCATATAGATACAGATATATGGGAATATTTTGTTAGACTAAGATATTTGAATGTATGAGATTTAATCACAGAGTGTGATTTAGCACTTCTACCATGGATAAAAATATAAAATGTACACCAAAGAGGGATTTCTGAAGAACTCAAAGAATTTACTCTAGTGATATTACTGTTCCCTGTGCACAGCCAGTACCTTTTCATTTTCTGATGATCCTGTTTATTCTTTTTAGGTAAGCTAAAGCCAACCATGGCTTTTATGCCAGGAAAATTAGATGTTAAAGGTGACATGGTGCTAGCAATGAGTCTGGGAAAGATGCTGCCACAGTTAATTTTTGAACTGTCAGGGGAAAGCCTTTCTAGCAGAACACTGGTCTGTAGAATCGTGATGTATATGATCATATGATCTTATAGAATCATGGGTTGCACAACATGTTTCCAGTGCACAGTAGGAGTTGAACTCAACACTAACTTTTAATCTGACTGGGACACAAACAGCATTTTTCTCTCCCGTACGGGTTTCATGAAGCTTGTAGGGCCCAACCATCTCTATCAGATGTTATTAAAAAAGGCTGATGATCTTGAGCTATTGGACAATACAGTGTGCTTGTGTGCAAAATATGGTCACATAAATTTTGTTTCTTTAGGGAGCCACCTTCAAGTAGAAACATCTTTTGAAACCTACAGATACTAGATGTTTTTCAAGTGAACATTCATGATTCAAAGTACATTTCCAAACACTGTCCTGTGACACTACAAGAACGGAAGAAGGTTGTCTAATTTCATACCTATTTCACCATCTACCGCATGCTTTTGCAGTTTTCCCTTCCATGCAATTTTTCTGCCAAAGTATTTTGTTTTTCAGAATTGCAGGGGTGGAGGGGGAAGGTGTGCAGCATCCAGTTCAGTATCAACTGTGTCCTGGTCCCTGAAGGCAAAATGTGCTCATTTGCTTCCCTGCCTGTGTCTGTAGTTAATGGTGTGTGTGTTTCTTGTGTAGTCAGTAATACTGCTCTTGCACAAAATGGTTGGTGGTTGTGAATGTCATCTGGTGACGGACTATGATGCCTGTGTAATCCTAGAGAAAGGTGTCACCTTTAGAAGAAAAGTGCTTTTGTTGGAGATGGATCCAGAACAGCACAAGCTGTCTCCAACTGGCCACTGTGTTTCTTCTTCCTCTTGGGACATCAGTAGTGTTGCCTGTGTGATGGAGGAGTGAGAGCTCACTGTGCTGCTCTGGGGGATACTGGTTGCTGCTGGCAGCCTGATGGGGGCCGCACCTGACCACTGACGCGGTTGTTGCTCATGCCAGGGAGAGAAGGGCAGGAACTACCATGTCCAGCACTTTGACTGGTGTAAATGGTTACGGATTCACACCCAACAGGACAAGTGATTCATTAACAAGAAAAGGGAAAACCGGAAAACATGGGCCTCTGTTCTTCAATCAAATGTATTTACACTATGTGACTTGACCCAGGATGAGTGTGCGTCGCACAGGCAGCATCATGAGCGTGTGGGTAGGTATCCCACAGCCTTACTCCTAGGGTATGGGGGGTGGTGGCTGTGCCATGGGATGGGTACTGTGGGACCTGGTGGTGCCGAGTATTGGGGATACTTGATCCTTGTACTACGAACGTTCGTATTTTGCCATTCCTGGAGTTCACACTATAAACAGACATGGCTGAAAAGCGTGCCGGTCTGCTGTGGACTCTTAGGATGAGGCCTACAACGGGTGCTGTAGTGGAGGAATTACTGTAGGTATTTGTGTTCTGCCGGGGATTTTTGCATGAGGGCAGAAATGTGTTGCTTTTTAATTTGTTGCTGGTTTCACAGCTTTTGTGGCCTGTAAAAATGAAGCGACTAAACAAACTGTGACTGTTCTGTTACTGCGATTAACTGGAGAAAAAGGTACAGGTTCTTTGGGCAACAGCTCCAGTTAATAAATGAAGAAAACGGCTCTAAGTAAAACACAGTCACTATCCGCATGCTGCTGACGGTAGTGGCCAGGACTGACGGCTCATTGTACTGAGGAGGAATGTAAGCCCGTGTCTCATGTGCCCAAGGGCTCTGTTTCCGTGTCTTCTCTCTGACCCCTTGAGCACTGTTCCAGCTCCTCCACTTTTGTGTGGTTTTCCCCATTTGGGTTGAGCCGAGAACAGCCCAGTTGCCGGGTGCCAGCAATGGGAGCAGCCAGCACAGCTGGGCCCAGACGTGTCCCTGCAGAAGCCCGGACACTGCCAAACACTGTTCTGCTGCCAGGCTCGCAGTGGACTTGCTGAAGGGCAAGACTTGCTAATGCACATCAATACCTTTTCCTACTCTTATTAGGGTTCAAAAATGGCATAGGATGGGATAAGCAGGTTTGTGGCAACAGCAAAATCTGCGTTTGTGTGCCTTCCCACCTCCCTTCCCTCGCCTCTGGTACAAAGTCCCTGCTCCAGAGCAGGAGTGAGAGTGAGTGTGCTTCTGGGTGACACAGCACCAGGACTTACTGTGCCTATTTGTCCCACCAAAATAACCAGTGAGCGCGTAACTCTCTGTTGTCAGGGAGAGACTGGGTTTGAAAGAACATTAGCCTGGATGCTTAAAACTTTTACAAAAACTAAAACCACTGAACCTCCGTCCTTACAATGGAGTGTTGCTTAACCTTCGTTCTGCATAGCATTCTATTCTAGAATAAGACATTGCTTTATATAGCAAAGTTAAGCAATAACTAACTAAATATAACTAACTCAAGCAGTAACATGTAGAGTCAGTATTTTTTACTGGGGCGTAGCTGTTCCTCTGCAGCTCTGCTTCTCACCATTCCCACTGGGGCTGATGGTGAAGGAAGGAGAGGGGGCCTTGCCCGCTGTATGGGGACAGTATCATCACACCTCTTGAGATAAGTTTACCTGCAGAGAATTTTAGTAGTGGGGTCTGCACGTTAACTTAAAGTTGCCACAGGGGAAAAAGAATGGAAAGAGAAGGAAGGGGGAAACCACCCAGTGGCCAGCCAAGAACCAGAGCAATGGGGCCCCCAGAAGAGTGTCCTTTCCTGTGTCAGCAAGCAGTGAGGATGAGGAAGGTGATTATAACTATATTCCTGTCAGGCTTCCTCCTCTGTTAACTCTGTGCTTGGCATAGGACCCAGCCAAGCTCCCTCTTTCTTGGTTGTTCTTGTGTACAATGCTGCCAGTGCTGACAGGATCACATTCAGTCAGCTGCAGGCGGTGCATGCTGGTCACTCCACTTTGTGCATGTTAATGCCTACAGGATATTTACGGGACTATTATCTACTTTTCTATTTGCTAGCTCTTGTCTTTCCCCTAATGTAAACTAAAGTTACAAAACAGGCGGGCAACATGGGAGGGTGGGAAGGGGGGGATTCTTGGACTGTTAGCAATTGCTTTCCATGAGAACCTATTATAATACTTAGATTTGCAGGTGGAAGGCCATGAGAACATCAGCACAAAGGCAACAGCATAGGAAGGAGAAGAGAAGAAGATTGACACAGCAGCTCAGGTGGAAGGCTGCAGAACTGCAAGGGGAAGGCTGGCTGCCGAAGCATGCACAGAAGGCCCTCGGCGTTGCAAAGCTGAAGGCACTTCTGCGTGTGGTATGTGCAGCAGCTGATGTGGCTGGCACTTGCTGTTCCATGCTAGAAGAGGGTTTACACAATTAAGTTGTGATCGCAAGATTGGACTTGGTGGCCCACACATTAGAACTTCACAGCTAAGGAGGCAGGGAAGTGGACGCGCTGTCTCTGCGCGGCACGGTTAAGCTCAGGCTTTATGGTTAAGCTCAGGCTCTATGGTTAAGCTCAGTCTCAATGCAAGAAAGAAGAAGTGGGTTCTGTTAAATTTCTTAAATGTGAACTGTAATTTTAAGCTTGTTTCCCTGTTCTTACTTTCTCTCATTGATAGGAACCACATGGCATGAGCATGAGCTCTCAGAACATACCTTTTCATCAATGGTTAAAGTTTTAGCAGGCTGGGGGATAAACTACCCTATCATTATCCTCAGTTGTAATCTTTGTCGTCGTGGTGTGCGAGTATGTGTGAGATACGGTATTGGGAGAACAAATAGCGTAAAGCCCCTGTACAGAGTTCTGGATTTTTTTCCTAGAAATACAATTTGTAATCCATAAAAAATATTTTGTCCAGAAGGATGTTGTCAGCTATTTCTGTATAAGCTAAGAGCTTACTATTTCTGCTAAACAATTAGATGTGATCAAGGCTTTACTGTAAAAGCAGAGTGCCTGAGGTCACATCTATTCACTGAAACTCAGGTCTCTCAAACTTTTAAGTTTAGCAGGCCAAAAATGGAGCGAATAAAACAATAACATGGTTGCCTTACCCGAAGCTGGGAGGAAACTAGCCCAGCTGGTTCGCTTGGTTATTTTCTTTGCCAGAAGTATAAATGCTCCTGTGACAGTGACAGTTGAACATACCCTAAATAAATAATGTCCCGTCTCCATGTTTACCACCTCGGCTGCTGTCATTTTCTTTCCTTTGAAGAAAAGGAGAGGCCCCAAAGGCATGACCTATGAGACACTGTTGTCAGCCTGGTACAGATGGGCAACTGCACCAAAGGCTGGAAATGGCCCCGGGGTGTCTGTGGCGGAACCGAAAACCAGCCCCCGCATCAGCCCAGCTCTGTCATTGCAAAGGTCTTCCCCACCCTCCACCTTTTTGTGGTTGCATTGTGAGCTCTGTAAGGCATCCCATAAAAAAGCAGGTCTGTCCCCACGGGCCAGGGTTAAGAGTAGAGCAGAAAAGAATGCACTGTGGGTCTACTACAGCCTTTGTAGGTGGCCTGTAGAAAGCCACCCCTTTTCTGAACCCTGGAGCTCACAGCTAGCAATGCAAGGGGGTGAAGAGCAAGACCCAGTTACATTTTAAAGCCACAGTCTGTATTGTAAGGCACACAAGGGAATAACTTGAGCCCACAGGCTGGAGACCAAAGTGTCATGGTTTCTTAGACATAGAAAACAGCCTATTGTCCTTATCCTCTATACAGAAATTACACACTGTACGTTCCTACAAATGTCAGCCCAATCTCCATCCTATAATTAGCACATACTTAGACTGCCAAGTCCCCTGCTTTCTTTCAAGTGGGTTTCTTGTTGAGCTGTCATTATACGTTTTTACCATACTCATTATTCAGGCTTTTGTTTAAATTGCTCTGCTTTACCTGTGTGTTTCTGTCATGCAACAGCTGCTGCTGCCACAGACACCTCCTGTTCCACCAAAACTCCAGGTGTCTCTACTGTCATTATGGGTCTTCCCCAAACAAATAGGGAGCTGTTATCAAGTTAAAGAGGAAAGGGAGAACTCCAGTCCCATCCTTTTCCATCTCAACCCTCTCTTGCAGACAGCTGCTCTGGGGAAGCTGTACAGTGACTCTGTTTCTTTATTTTCCACGATAGCCTTTTTTTTTTGCCTGTGAGACATTTATGTTATCCACCTAAAGCAGGAGTGATTTTAAATACTGAAAGAAGCTCATTCTTTACATTTTTTAAATGTTTTTGTAAGACCTCTGTCCTCCAAGCAAACATTAAAGAAATCAGAAGGTTTTCTGTATTGCAAAAGCTCATATTCTGTCTGATTCACACACAGAGAGTACTGCCAACCTCATTTGTCCTTCCACGAGAAAAAGCAACTGAAACTGCTTCCTTTGCGTAGTAAAAGTGTAATGAGAACTGAAAATGAGACTTCTTGGACTCTCTGAAGCTGTATCAGACAAGAGGAGCCTGGAAAGTAAACTAAATTAAAATCCACAGGAATTTAATACAAAGCAGAGTCATGTGGCGACAACTCTGAAAACGCACAGACTGGATTCCCAAGGGTATTTATGTCAGGCCTCTGGTGAAATAGCACAGGACTTTCAAAAGCACCTTGGGGGCTGATCTTCGTATGCCTTTTTCTGTGTTAGTACTAATTGTTAGTTGCAGTCTAGTAACAAATCTAAGATAGGAAGTTAGTCCTGCTCTGATATCCCGGGGTGTGAAGGTGAAGCAGCCTCGTGATGCCTGCAATGAAAGGATTTGTCTGCAGTGCTTCCTATGGCATCATGCACATGTGAAGGAAAGGTGGCTGCTGAACACCACAGTCTGAGGTCTCGGCCAGGAGAAAACCAACAGGTACCTCTGTCAGGTTTTTAGCTGCCCCAGATGGGGCAAGAAGAAAATTTAGAGCTGACCCAGAGGCTGGGCATTTTTCCTGGGCACTACCATCTCTCTGTAGGCTTTTGTAAGCTGTTACCTGTTTTCTATTTTGTCAATACACACTCTTACTCACTTTGATTTTAACTCTGACTTGAAGCTAGGCATTTTGCATTTTTTATTTTTTTTTTTTAAAGTGGAGAGCTAACTGCAGTGCTAACAGATCCAGTCACTGTGAGTCGGGTGGTCTTTAGTGCAGGTACTTACTCCCCTGTGTTCCTTCAGGATGTCCAAAGGAAAACGTGAGTGCCTGCCTGTGTGCCATAGGCTGGGTTGTGAATCTCCAAATGGAGCCTGGGAAGGGCAGGAGTCTTCTCTTAACCAGTGATCACTGGGAAAAGACAAAACCTTTGCAGTTCATTGTGATGGCTGAATCCCTGCTCCTCAGGTTGTCCCATGTTGCCTTCTACTAAGGGACCAAGCTCACGATGCTCCTTGCCTGATCATCCCTTTTAATTCAGCCTGGTGTTTCGTACAGGACCAGAAAAACATCTGCTTGAGCACTTGCATAAGCCTGCCCTGCACCAGTCAGGCAGAGCAGCGTTCGCAACACCTGACCATAGCAATCTCCTGCAGGAGAAGACTGCTCTCCTCTAGCTTTCCTGTTCTAATCAGGCTCCTTGTGGGCTTGTGTCCCCCATTACTGACCCAGAGGGGAGCATCCCTTCCTCTCGTGTGGATCCCTTTAGCTCCCTTGTGCCTTGGTTTCTGGGCTGTGGAGCAGAGATGTAGGGTTAGTGTTAAACGCAGCATTACAAGCGCTGAAGCGCAGTCGAGCAGGGTGCATCCAGATGCTGTGGTGAAGGACTGGCAGAGCAGAAACACTGTGGCCTACCAAAGGTGAATTTATTCTGAAATCATCTCCAGAAGTGACAGAAATCTTATGGCAACGTGCAGTGCCCCCACGGGTCATTTTTGAACTCGCAGGTAAGTGAAGGGTAAATTAACTGGCACTGCTTTGCTTTGAAATATTGTGTTTAATTACAGATGTTCCAGGAATACGGATATGATGCTTCACAGACTCTGCTTTTAAAAACTTTCATTACATAAAGAGAAGGTGGGGGGACGGGGGTGAGGGAGAAGTTATGGCCTCAAGTTGTGCCAGGGCAGGTTTAGGTTGGACATCAAGAAAAAAATTTTCAGCAAAAGAGTTGTCAAGCACTGGAAGGGGCTGCCTAGCGAAGTGGTTGAGTCCCCATACCTGGAGGTATTTAAAAGCCGGGAACGAGGTGCTTAGGGACAGGGTTTAGTGGTGGGATGGCAGGATTAGGTTAATGGTTGGACTTAATGATCTTAAAGGTCTTCTCCAACCTAAACAATTCTGTGACTCTATGAAGTTGCCTGGTTGCTCTTCCTCTTTCAGGATTACCCCTAAGCGAATGGATGCTGCTGCTTTGCCATGCTGTGGTAAACAAATTGACCTTTCAAACATTAAATTTCCAAGGTTTTCTATAGGAAATTAAAAAAAAACCCAACCCAACAGACAAACATCTTATTCACTGCTATATTCTCTTTATTAGCGATTTTCCAAGGAACTTCCCAACAGCAGCATCCTTGTCGTGTCCCGTGCTTTACTCCCTGACGGTACCAGACAGCTGGTGTCCACAGAGATGCTCTCAACTCGCTTGGTGTTTTTTATTCTGCTCCTGCCTACACCAGTGTACCCCGGCTACCCTATTACTGAAGACCCAGGGATACAAAGCCCTCTGCGCAGGCCACAAGAGGATTTTGTCTCCTTCCTCACTAACCCCCTGCACCACAGGAGCATGTTGTAACACCCCACCTCCACTTGTCTCACCAGTTGTCCACAGGTCAGACCACTTGTCTTCCTGAAGCTAGAGAGGAAACTGCCACCCACATTGGCGTCCTTGACTCCCACTCCTCGTGGCTGGGTGTCTGCAGGGCGTACCTGCCTGCAGACCCACCTTCCAGAGTGCTGGTGTCTCACCAGGGAGCCCACCCCCTGTCCCACCCATTAATGCTGACTTGCAGGTGCCTGTCCCTGGCCAAGACCTTCCATCCAGAGAGGTGCGTGACAAAAGGCTGAGCAGGTCTACCTTGTGTTTAGTCCTCTGAGGGGGGCACTGCAGGAGCGCTCCAGACTGACACACAGACGTTTGGGGTGGGAAGTGGCTCCCTGGATTTTCTGTGCTCCTATCTTTGACTCAGCTGGAGGCAGTCTCAGTGAAGACCCAGCTGTCTGCTGGCATGCTGGAAGGCTGCCTAAAACAGGGTCCCCTTGCAGTGGTACAGAGGAGGCAGTCTGGGACACGGCAAGGTTCTGCCAGGTGTTACACCTCTTCCAGGACCTAATGGGACCTCCCAGGTACTGCTCTCTCCATGCTCCTGCTAACTGATGGGGTCAAATCTTGCTTGGGTCACAGCAAATGAAGTCTAAACAGGAAGACGTTGCTTTTAACTCACACTGCTGTCTCAAGGGGCTGCCTTTTTCAGCAAGCTAATGGCTGCGCAAGGAATTTTGGGAAGGATTTTGGAAATTTTGAAAGGGACAACCGAAAGTGGTTCTAGCTTAACTTCTTGCACTAGCAGGAGCTAGTTTGGTTGGGCACACATTCCTCTGAGGAGCACACCTTTGAAAAACACAGCAAGAGTATTCCTACTGCGATGAGACACTGGTTTGCCATCTGCATTTGGCTGGCGCGAGCGTGATCAGCAGGCCTTGGAGGAGACATGCCAATGGGAACCTGTGGTGAAGTGATGCAAAAGCCTGGCGTGGCAGTGGCCTCATCCTACCCCTCTTCCTGTGATGCAACCAGTCCTGGTTAAAACCTACGTGTGGTCAAAAGCATCATTCCTGCCCTTTCTCATCTTTTACTCTCATCCCAGCTGCTCTTGTGGAAGGTCTGTAGCATACGGCCAGCCTTCTAGTAAAAGCAGAAGTATTTTCTGATTGCCCCTACCTCCCTCCCAGCAGGTTCAGCACCTCCCAGAGCAGCTTCCCTCCTGCTAGGAGAGCTGGAGGATTCCACAGCGGTGCTGTTTTGCCTTTGTGTTTCAGCCAGCAAAGCTTTTGGCACAAGGTCAGGCTGACAACTGCT